TTTTTTTTAATTGGATCATAGAATTGCAGACATTCACAGCTGGAAGGGCTGCAAACTCATCCATTGCAGTTTTCCAGAATGTAACTCTACAAGCTAGTTATGACTTTTATAATAATGAAGAGTTCTGTAGTTGTAGTAGTCATTAGTCCTGCTCATCACTATCAAATTTTTCTGTCTTCTAGGCACTTCCTATCTTTCTCCCTCTTAGCAGGTCATGGTCATGTGATTAGTTCTGACCAATGAGTTGTGTTTTAAAATTTTATTCATCATATTTGAGCAATAACATTTAAAGACTGATTTGAGATTCTCCTAAACTTCTTTTGTTACTAGCAAAATGACCTACAAGTTTCATGATGGCATCTACTCCACCAGCTGGTATCCCCAAGTAGCTATGAAAAATAGAGCTCTTCTCTATGGTAGTTAAACCATGTTAGACATGTAATGGGTAGGGGGAGACTTCCTTATTTTAAGCTGATGAGATTTTCATGTATTTTTTATTTCAGCATAGACTAGTCTATCCTGACTTATACAATGGTCAGTTAAGTTTGAAGACTACAGATTTACACAGGTTTCTTTACTACGTAAATCTACAAGACTTCAAAATGCTAATAGGAAATGTAAGTCATCAGGAGAGGATTACATTAGGAAACATTTCTCACACCTAATTGACTATGAGAGTTTTTGCTTTGTTTTATTTTAATATTTGTGTATTATGCAGAACACATGTTAGGATATCGAAGATCACAATGTTCCACAGAGCAATTAGGGAAATCACTTTTGGTCCAATCTCAGCACTTTATAAAATAGTTGAACAAAGCTCTAAAGAATGACGATCTTCTCTGACGCCATCCTCAGTGAGGTAGTCAGTGAGTGGCTGACATGGGAGCTCATGCCTCTGGGTCATGCCCTGGACCTAATAAAACAGAGTAGCTTTACAGGTGTAACAGATGTTTGATAATAATCAAAACTTTTTTTTTTTTTTTTGACAGAGTTTTGTTCTTGTAGCCCAGGTT